AACGCATATGTAGAGTTTAATATATCCATGTCTCTTCCATATGTGTGGGGTCTAACCTGTGTGTCTCTTCTTAGTTTGGAGGCAAGGAGGTGCTGCAGCATGCAATTCCACAAGTGTTGCAGAAAAACCTGCCCAGCAAGGTAAAGAAACACCTCTGCCTGAGGGGAACTTTAACCCGTAGTGGGAGTTGGAGTCAGCCACGTTGTCAACACTTGAAATTAGCCAGCAACATGCACTCAGTGTAATTTGTCCTACAGGAGGTGCTCTTGGATATGAAGGAGACACATTTGACGTGCACAGAGAGAAACGACAAACTGGTGAGTAAGATGCATGTGATGTCTTTCACAAGAATTGATTGAGTCTTGTGTTTGACATGCTGTCTGTTGTTTTGCGTCAGGAGCTGTTTGAGCATCACTATCCAGAGATTTCATGTGTTGGGAGATTCGGACAACCAGACTACACAATATTTGCCTTCATCGTGGCGTAAGTCAATATATGGATTCCATGTGATTATTGCACTGGGAAACACGTATGATCCAGGTGTTTTTTATCATCCATCTGCCACACATCCCTGTTAATCTGCTGCGGTTTAGGTCACACCCCATCCTAGAGGCGTGCTTACGCAATACCCAAGCCCCCACAGCTCTGCTGTCATTGGCTGGACCTGGATGTAATCTAAGCATGTGATTGGCTCTTTTCACAGAGACTCCCCAGAAACCTCTCGCTCTTCAGGCTGCTGCTGTGTGGTGCTCAGGGCCAGCACCATCAAGGAGTGTGAAGAGATTGTCTTCCGTATAGGTGAGAGATTATGCAAGACCTCACTACAGAGATTATACAGGTTTAGTGACATTAAAATAGATGTGTTCTCCTTACAGCTACTGGCTTCAAGCACACAGAGTGGTTTGTATGACAACTGTGGCCAGCTCTCATTTCCATATGCTAATTTAAACAAATGTATATATTTTATATAATTGTGTACACAACTGGATGATACAATTAAATTGACTACAGCACACTGGACTTTCTACTCATAAAGACCTTTAATAGAAAGACATGTGACATTTTCATAAATAGTATTAAATGTAGCTGCCAAGATTTTATGTTGGAAAACACGTAAAAAGCAGTCCAGAAAAATACAGAGGGGTCTGCCATGCTCCTGGTCAAGGAGTGCAGGGTATCGACTGGTGGTCAACACCCTGGCACTACAGTGAGACTTGTAGAGCAAGACATGCTGGCATTTTGTTGGAAATGGTAGATGGGTTAAGACACCCTGGACCCCCATGGAAGATGTGAAGAAATCACCTTTGCTTTAAAAAGAACTGTATCCTCAGGAGGAGCCTGTTACCCACACAGAACCGGGAGGAGGGGGATGGGTTATATGGTGGCTATAACATGTAATGACAACCCATGATGGTACACAGATATTCCTACTGCACAACACTTCCAACTACCCAAAGTGTACTCAGGCTTGTGGAATGGTCAATGTATTGTCTCAACTCTAAAATACAATACAAAATTCAAAAAGAAAGTCTTTTTAAAAAATGTCAAAGAAATAAAAATGTCCACAAAAATGGTTAAGTATGATAAATAGTATCATTTGTCACAACAATGCTGCCAGCAGCCACTTAGGCCCTCTCTCCCCTTATCCTACGGGCCAGCTGGATGTCTTTGGGCATGATGGTGACACGTTTGGCGTGGATGGCGCACAAGTTGGTGTCCTCAAACAAACCCACCAGGTAAGCCTCACTGGCCTCCTGTTTAGAGAATAAAGAATAAAAACAGATTAGGTTCAGGTCTAAAAACTATTGCACGTGTTACATGTGTGTAGTACCAGTGGGGGTAACTCCCGTGTTTATTTACCTGAAGAGCTCCAATGGCGGCGCTCTGGAAACGCAGATCGGTCTTGAAATCTTGGGCGATTTCCCTCACTAGACGCTGGAAGGGCAGTTTGCGGATGAGGAGCTCAGTGGACTTCTGGTAACGACGGATCTCCCTCAGAGCCACGGTTCCCGGCCTGAACAACAATAACAATGAGCATCAAGTACTCCAAAGCGATCACATTCAATGATCACATGTCCAGGTTAGAAACTGTGATCAAATATAAAAACACACCTGTAACGATGGGGCTTCTTCACGCCCCCGGTGGACGGAGCGCTCTTTCTAGCCGCCTTGGTAGCGAGCTGCTTCCTTGGCGCCTTTCCTCCGGTGGATTTACGGGCAGTCTGCTTGGTACGAGCCATTTCGTTCCTAGAAACACAGAAAGGAGTTTAATAAATAACCCTGGCGAGTTCAAAATGCAACAGAAAGCTAACGGAGCTTATGTAGTTAGCCGCCTAGCTGATCGGCGCTAGCACAGTGTCATGAGGGCTCCCCTCCCCCAGGTTGTCTCCACTGTGGGCGTCAGGTTTGCTCCTGAACGCTCTATAGCGTCGACTGGCAAGAAGAACCATAACAGAGAAGAAATATTACAAAACCATGTGAAGAAGAAGCTCCGGCACGATTTAAATCGCCGGTGCTACATGGCGCTATTACTGGGGACTGGATCGACCAGAGGCGGCAGCGTCCAAACACCGAGCGTCGGTATCAGCCCGTCAGACGAGCCTGTGCTTCGACTTCGCCATTTTCAGTCTGTCGTTTCCCCCTCAGACGACATTCAGCTCACATCAACCTACACTGTGCTTCACACCATTAGCTTAGCCGAATCACCATTTTTAAGTCGAGCCCCCAAATTACACCCTCCGACTAACTTCGGTCTCGTTTACCGGGTGTCACGTCTCCTGAGGGAGAGAACCGCTGTGATTAAATACAACCGTCCTAGACTCCATTGTTCTATTTTTAGCTAACGTTAGCCGAACGACATGTTAGCCTGCCTCATAAACAATGTCCGACGACAGACACACGATCCCCGGATACACTTCACTGTGGCGACCACGGCTCCATTAGACACACGATCAACACACAGGACAATACGAGAGATATTTACCTTTAGGCTGATATGAATTAATCACTGTACTGGACAGAGCGTCAGCGTGGCCCGGTGGAGACGGTGTGTGAGGGGGGGAGGCTGAGGCCGAGTATTAATACTTTGTCGTGACGTCATCCCCTTAAAATACCAGACGATCATTGGTTCACTTTCGAAAGTGGACATCCGGCACAACCAATAAGATGGAGCGAATAAAAAAAACATCAGTCATAATAGTTGCTTTCATTTATTCCTCTAAAAACACATGTGACGTCAGGTGGCTTTAATCATTTTTTATATAATTTACCGTCGAATCTCACGTATTCGACGAGTTGCATTGTTATTATCGATGGCAAAACGCCATCTCCCATAATTCCGCGCTGCCTCTTGTTGTCCCCTCTGCTACTACTTCCTGCTGCCTTGCGCAAGCTCACATCGGAGTAGAATGCGGATTTCGAAGCTAATACGAATAGCTAGCCCCTAAGCTAAAAACAAGCTTTTTGTTGTCGGGCGTTAAACTGGGGGAAAATGTCCAAAACACAGCCGCAGCCCCCGTCGGCTTCGGCGGTGACCACCACCGGGGGTCCCTCTTCTTCCTCCTCGTCCTCGCCCGCGGGGGGCTCGACATCTCCCGCAACCGTGTTGAACGTACAGCCCGAGAAACCTCAACATTACACGTACGTAGTAGCCACTTTGCAGGATTAGCTAGCTAAGTGGACACAGCCTCACGTGTAGTTGCATGAACTAAAGTACAGATAAAAGAAAGAAACTAGCGTGTGGGGAATGCTAAACTGACGCTAGCTTGTTTATACAGTGACAATGTGTTTAAAAAGTGGACCAGGTCTCTATAAACAGGCCTGACGTTAGTAGCTGTTGTCATTTCTTAGATGCTTTATAAAACAGCACAACTCTACTTCTGTGCGTTTTAATATGTTTCACTAGTACAAATGTGTAATGTTAGATTGAAGTAATAATGCAAAACACAGTTACAAGTGCTTTTTCACAACAGCAGGGAATATGATGAGGTTAGACAGGCACAGGTGACATAACCTATGCAATCATGGATATTGAATGTGCTGTAAATACATATTAATGAGCTTTGTCTTGTATGTGCTTGAAATCTCATGTGAAATAAAACAAATGTGTGAATTAATCCCCCACTGTCTCGTTGCTTCTGTGTGTGGCAGATATCTGAAGGAGTTCAGGACAGAGCAGTGCCCCCTGTTCGTGCAGCATAAATGCACACAACACCGGCCTTTCTCCTGCTTCCACTGGCACTTCCTGAACCAGAGGCGCCGCAGGCCCATCCGCAGACGGGACGGGACGTTCAACTACAGCCCAGATGTTTACTGCACCAAATATGATGAGGGAACAGGCACCTGTCCTGATGGAGACGAGTGAGTGTGACCCAAACATCAGTGATGTGGAAGACTGCTTCACATCCTGTTTATGTTCCCTTTTGGCATGTTGTGCCTCTCATTAGACCCATAACTTGAGCAAGACTAATATTGTTTGACTGATAGTGTGAGCCTTTCACAGACATATCGGTGTCTGCGTTAATGTTTGCTGATATACGCTAACATGAACATTTTATTTCACAAAATAAACAATGCAGATGTGCAATATGGGCTTTTATGTTTAAATTGTACAGAAAACTTTTTTAAAATCTCAATTCAAGTTCTATATATTTGGTT